CGGTCATAGGACATGGTGGCCAGCAGAAAGAATTCTGTTACAGCAAAAAGATCAGTAAAAAAAATTTCAGTGATGCAACTGTTGTATGTAATTGTCTTGTCCCCTGTTGATAGGCTGTACAGGTATCTGGGCATACAAGCAGATGTGAATGAAATTTCTAAGAAGGAGAAATTTTGTAGGAAATAGTACATGGCAGTTTTCAGTTGTGGATCCACGGTGGTGAGAAAGATGATGGTGAGGTTTCCGGTGACACTCAGCATGTAGGTGAGACACAGAAAGATGAGGAGCACAACCTTCAGTTGTGGGTCATCAGTCAGGCCCTGGAGGAGGAACGTTGTGACGGTGTAATTTCTCATCATCCACTCCTGACTTCTACTCAGTCTGCACTGAAAATTAGGTGTTTGGGTGGAGTGGTAATTAACAGAGCAAGAGAACTGTGAAAATAACATCACATGCATTATTGTATTTCTATGTATTATCAATTTCAGTAGAAGTTTAAGTTTTATAATTAATAGTAGTAATTTCAAGGTAGACTTAAAAATTCAAACATTAATGTGCTATTCCACAATTTAAACATAAGAATATATATTATGTTATAGTGAATATTATATCATAATATATATTATTCTGTATATGCATTATATTCTTATTTTATAACACAGTAATATATGTATATGATATCATAAGTACATTATATATTATATATGCAATATATGTTATATATTTAATATGTAATTCTATATTTATAAATAATATATAGTAGTAATCTATTTTATATTGAAAAATACATTTAACTGTGTTAATGAATTAACATATGTTAATAATATGAGGATGTACCTGTACGCAATGCATTTTTAACAAGGTCCCCTCCTCCCTTTATTCCTATTTCTTGCCTTTCTTTCTAATCTTTTTTTCTAAGTATTTGATGGGATTCATCATGCTGACATTATCTTCATACATAATGCCCTCTCAGTCCTCTTTGTTCCTCAGAATCCCTATTCTTCCTCTCCTCCTGGTGATCACCTCCTTTCTCGTCACCTCTTACATTTATTCCCCATTGCTGTTGCTCAAAAATCGAATTCAGTTTTCTTTTCTTGTGGTGGTAGGGATTCATGCCAAGTTCTTATGCATGCTAAATGCTGTACCATTGAAGACATATTTAGCTCCTCAATTTGTTTTTTTCCCAAACAAAACTAACCACTAGATTTTTCTTTTGTGTGGGTCCTGGGACTTGAACTCAGGGCCATAGCACTGTCTCTGAGGTTTTATGCATTAGGTTAATTCTTTCTACTTGAGCCACAGCTCTATTTCCAGTGTTTTGGTGGTTTATTGGCGATAAGAGACTCAGTGACTTTCCTGGCTGGGCTGGCTTTTAACTGTAATCTTCAGAACTCAGCTTCTAGAATTGCTAGATTATAGGTGTGAACCATCTGTGCCTGACTTGACTACTAATGTTTTTGTGATAGGAAGTTTGCTAAATATGCTTAAGCTGAATCTTGAAATTTCTTTAGCCTATTTGTATTTTCCTTGAAATTTCATTATTCAGAAAATGCAGGTATATTACAAATAGTTTGAGTTTCATACTACAAATTATGTATCTATTTGTTAAGAAGTTGAGGTCTAGACTAGTGCTGGTAGTGAATGCCTACAATCCTAGAAATTCAAGAGGTTTGTGAAACTCTTATTTCCAATTAACCAGCAGAAAGCTGGAAGAAGAGCTTTGGCTGAAATCAAAACTCCTCTTCTAGCATTTTTGTGGTACATTGGATTTAAGAGTCAAGGAATTCCTGTTTTGTCTGGCTTTGAACCAAGATCCTCAGATTGTGGCCTCCTGAGTAGATAGGATTACTGGTGGGAGCCACTGGTGCTCAGTATTGGTGTTTGAGAGGTTGTACTTGGTAAGCAGGTACCACCTCAATTGAAACACCACTTGACCCATGACTCTCAGCACTATTTTGTGTTAATTTTTTCTTCTTCCTTTCCCAGGAGGTCTTGTATTTTCTCCCTGGTGTTATATTTCCTACATAGCTTGAAATAGAGGCATTCACCATTACATGGGTTTAGTTGTTGAGAAGGTCTCTAGCTATGTTTCTGCCCTTCACCTGTTGATCTCTGCCTTCTGAACTCCTGGGATTACAAGAGTGAGCTATCATGTCTGTTTAGAATGGATATATAAAACTCAATATTGATATAATTCAATATTCACCTTATTGTTTCATATGTGTTTTATTTTCGTCTTTCCAATTTGTAATATTCAGACACTTACTTTCTTGTGGATGTCTCTTGTATTGATAACTGTTTGAATTCATTTATTACTTAACACATGCACTTGCTTTGAGTAGTGTTTTCTTGAACTACAAATACGTTTTCCAAATTCCAAAATGCCCTTGAAATGTCAATAATATAACCAAATGCACCCTAAGCATAAATCAGAAGCTGTTGCTCCTTACAATGTATTATGTTTTTCCCATGTGTTCTTTACAAATTAATATAGTGTACTTAGGTAACCAGTAGTTTCTGCTAGGTACAGAAATAAGCGGTAGGTACAGAAACATTTCCTCCCATGCTCTGTGCTTCTGCTTTCCATTCTCACGTGTCAGCTTCTAATTCCACTAGAAATACACATACTTGGCTATTGGTTTTTAAAATTTCCTGAAGTTTCACTGCACTCAAATTGTGTTACTTTTGAACAAACTTACTCCTTTTGTTTGCTTAGTATAGTTGTATCAATGCTGAGGTACTAGCCAACACAAAAACAATCTAAAATAATGTTTGAATTAATATCATTTTAGGAATTCCTTTTCTAAATTGCAACAATCCAGAAAGATCTATTTGTTCAATACTTATTTATTCAGGTCTAAGAATGTAACAAATGACAGAATTTATTATACTTACACTTCTGGAAGTTAATTTTATCTTTTTGTTAGTGGTTTACAATTATTCTTGGAGAAAAAAACTTTAAATGAATATTAAGCTGAAGCCTAATATGGTATGATTTCCAGTAGCCTAGAAATATACCCTTTTCTTGAGATTTCTCTCTGTAGTTGATTGCGCCAAGTTTCTCTCAATCCATGTAGAGTCATCCTCCATCAGGCGAGGAAACTGCTTTGGTTTTCTTTCTGTCATTGAAAAGTAAGTCCATAGAGCTCAGGGTACCTTTGGAATAGTGACATTGTGAGTTCTTTTGATAACTGGGAAGATTCTCTAATTTTAATTTCCATATTTATATTATTTCTCAAGTATGTAAGCAAGTTGATAAGCATAGGATTCCATGGTAACTCACATTGAAAAACCACTTAATGAACTTGGGGAAAAACTCAATCTGTCTTAATACCTGTGGGAATTCAGCCTATAGAGACAGGAGAAAGCACTAGGAGCATTGCAAACACATTGTTAGGAAACATTAAGAACCTAATGAAATAAGCTGTCTTCTAAGACAGCTTATTTATCTAGGTTTCCTTTCCTACTTGTCAATTTGTTTGACAGTGGATAAATTCCATGTTAATATTTCAAAACTATCATTTGGTTCTACTTTCATTATGTTCTCTTCATCAGGTCAAATATATAACCTTTTCAGTCAAAATTAATAATTGATTCCAGTATACATTCCTAAGTTTAGACACTAAACATCTCTAAGGGCTGAAACACATTGTTCATGCATTCACATTTTTGATATTTAAAGGTTAATACCCAAGAATCTCTAAGACTCTAACAAGTCCATATGATTTGAAATTCACCCTTTTGGATTCAAATTTTGACATATAATTTATCCTGGAACACAATTTCAGTGGATGCTACTGTATGAAAATATCATGTGTTAAATAAATTTATCCTTCAAGTAATATAAACTTTGAAATTCATTTAATATATATATTCTTATTGACATTTCATTTTTACTCAACAACCCCTAATTGTGTGTAGTTCTTTCTACAATATAAATTTTGATATATGCACATTGTGTAGAATGCTTAAATTAACTAGATTATTTTTTCTTTTGGATTATAGATTTGAATTTACTGTCTTAGCCATTTTGAATGTGCAAGACATTGTTTCCGAGTACACTCAACCTACTGTTCAAAACTTATTTCTCTTGTCCAACTGAAACTCTGTATCTTTGAGAAACAACAGCAGAAAGAATATTAGTGTTTGCCTCTGTTTGTGAAGAAATTTGGAAAGAGATAAATGATGAGTAATTGCTAATGTGTACAAGATTCCTTTTAGGGGTGATAAAATATTCTAAAGTTACATTATGGTGTTACACACAATTTTGTGAATGCTAGTAAAATCATGTAATTGAACAATTATAATTCATACTTCAACTTTGTGGCCTACAAGTAACATATAAATGAAAGTTTATGTTATTTAAATATTTTATTGTAAAATCTTTACAACTTTGGCGGGAGAGGGTAGTTGTGGAGGTGGGAGGGAAGAGATGGTAGGGGAAAAACAAAGGAGGAGGCAACAATGCTTGATAGGAAATGTACTCATTACTTTGCTCATGTAACTGTAACCCCTCTGTACAGTATTTTTACAATAAAAAGGTACAAAAATAAATATTTTATTGTGTATTCTTAAGATGTACAATGTGTTAATAATATACATATTATTGAGTTAGGGTCTCAAAGCTCAAGGGCACTTGAAACTGAGAATCTTTTGCCTTAGCCTCTACCCAGTTTATAATAATACATTTAAGAATTATTTAATTGTTTTATAAAGGTGATGTACAGAGGGATTAGAATTACATAGGTCAGTAAAGAGAGCATTTCTTTTTGGATAATGGTACCCTTTCCCTCCCTCTCTTCCAGTTTTTCTCTCCCATCCCCATCTGCAAGTTGTGTAGTTCATTTTCAACGTACTATCTACTGGGTACCACTGCCGCACTTTTTGCCCTTTGTGCTTCCATTTATGTGCCTCTCCTCAACTTCCCAAAGTCATATAAATAAACCAACAAGATAAAAAAGAAAACACAAAAAACAAAAAAGGAAAAGCAATCTCATTACCTCTCTGCTCATTTTGATAAATATTATTTTGTATGGTTTGTGTTTCTCTCTTAAGAGTTTCTGCTTTTGGTCTCACTGTGCATGAATGCCTAGAGTACTGCATAATTTATGATGTCCTGTTACGTTTTACATCTACTGTCTGCATATGAAGAAGAACATGCACCATTTATCTGTTTTTGCTTGGCTTACCTGTCTTGTTCTAGGACTATCCATTCCCCTGCAAATGACAAGTTTCATTCTTTCTAAGGTTGTGTAAAATTCCATTTTGTATAAGCATCATATAATTGGAACCACTCATCTATTGTAGGGCATCTGGGCTGTTTCTACAACTTGAATATTGTGAATAATGCAGCAATGAA